TAGGGTTTGGGGTTTATGGGGTCTAGTGTTTGGGGTTTAGGGTTTAGGGTTTGGGGTTTAGGGTTTGGGGTTCATAGGGTTTGGGGTTTATGGGGTCTAGTGTTTGGGGTTTAGGGTTTAGGGTTTGGGGTTTAGGGTTTGGGGTTCATAGGGTTTGGGGTTTATAGGGTTTAGGGTTTAGGGTTTGGAGTTTAGGGTTTGGGGTTTAGTGATTTGTAGTCCGTAGTTTGAAGGTTTTAAGGGTTTGGGGTGTAGAGCTCTGCGGTAGTCATTTAAGCAGGGATACTGGAAATGCAGCGTAAGATGATGTCGTCTGGATTTGAAGAGCTGCAGCTATCGAAAGTTCCCTTGTTGTGCCTCTTTCCAGATTTTGTTTTTGGGGTTGTTGTCATTAAGAACTCTGGCCGAGCTTGAAGGTAATGATGGCAAGCATGAAGAGCTGTGCTTGAGGGCAAGTGTATCATGAAACCCGGGTGCGGGCCCTCACAGTCAAAGCTCTTTCCGTAATGCTAGATTTTCGCTTGTCAAGCGCCTGGGGGAGGCCTACCGTTTTATGATGAAATCAGCCTTCACCCAAGCTGCCTGTCCTAGTCCGATGGCCCCGCCTTGCGTGACTAATCATGTAGGGGGTAGGTTTCTCAGCACAGAAAAGATTGGTTCTCCCGTTTATTACGAAGGAAGCGGTACAAACTAATCTCTCTAGCAACAAATGACTGCTTACGTTATATGACAGGAGTTCCTGGACTTGTTCGGCAGCGGGGAGCTCGGCGTAACAGTGAGTTGGGCCCAGTCGCTGGGCTCGCCATGTGGGAGTTTCCTCACAAGGGTGCTTACAGGGCTGATTGTGCAGGAGCTCATGTTAACTTTTGAGATTAAGGACGTGTGCGTTGTGAAGAGACGCAAGGTTCCCCGTTTGCAGTGCATGTATGGGAGACATTTTGGGTCCCTTCTTTGGATTTCTTGAGAAGTATGCAAAGAAGGAGGTGTGCAAAGAGCCTGCCCGACAATCCTCAGAGCGCAAGTCCCCATTCAAGGAACCCAGAGGGACCAGTTTGAACAACCCTCCGTTCAAACACCATTTGTTTAAACTCTAACCCCAAGCCCTGTACCTAAAACTCCAGACCTTACAACCTGAACCTTGAACCCCTAACCCCGAACCCCATCCCCTGAGCCCTAAACCCTAAGCTTTAAACCCCAAACCCTATGCGTGAAGAGCGAAAAGTCTGCTGGGGGGAAAAAACCAAAACCCTAACCCCAAGCTGAAAACCTTCAACCCAGGCGAGTAGTATTTTATTTGGGGATAGTATGGTACCCATTCTAGAGTAAGATTCTATCCTCCTTTTGGGGGTATAGTATTTTATATCAGGAACATTATCTTACTAGGTTCAACCACAAAAAAAACACTACTCAGGTGGAGCCTCGCTGACAAGGCAGAGGTCTCGGCGGCTCTGGCCAGTGGTAGCTGCGGAGCAGACAGCATCCTGGTCAGATCAGCCACTTCAGTCCTTTAGGGTTTTCATGGGGATCCCACCATACCATAGTAGGTTCCATTTTATTTTCCATTATCCCTATATAACCGCAATGTACTACAGCAATTTCCATTTTATTTTCCATTATTTATGCAGGAAGAGGATGGAGACTTGACAGGGTCCTTGATAGGCCTCGAGATGGCGAGCCCCTGATGCCCGTGCAATGATATGCAAGTCTTAAGCGAGATTTGATTTTAAAGGGCTGATTGTGTTTTCGGCACAGCCTAGTATCCCGGCTATATGGATACATTGGATTCTTGCACTTGGTCCACTGTTTCAGCGGCCCAGGCTGGGAGAGTGTTTCTTGCTCTGGCTTCTTCGTCCGGTCCTACTTGAGGATGCACGCAGCAGACCCCACCACAACCGGTCCGCCACCCACATCGACTGTCACCACGAAGGCGAGCACTTTTCCTCCAACGACGACGCCAGCTACCACAACGATGCCTACTACACAAACAACAACCACCACTCCGCAGGTCTCGACAACTACCCGGACAGTCGTTGTTACGCTGCTTGTTGACATTAAGCTATGACTCATGCCCCGAGTGTGGAAGGGTTTGAAGAGTTCTCTGCTTCACCATTTAGGTTAGCGATATCTCAGGATGGGTCCTCCTATTGCCCGGGACATGTCTGCAGAATGTGGCCGGTGGTGCCAATACAATGACAATGACTGGGCAACAAAGTGCACGTGGAGCCTTGGATTTATTGGTGTTGCAAAGCAATGCTATACTCTTTCAGATTAGAACGGGGCACAACGTTTGTTAACCCAGAAAATGCGATGTGGACAGTTTTGAAACCAGCGTGCCTCCCAAAACGACTGAATAAGGATTGGCTGCAGCCTTTGTGCTGGATGCGGGACCACCGTGTCATCCACAACTGCAGCACCCAGCACGCAAAGCACCACCAAAGTAACAACAACCACCCCAGCACCCACCACGACAACCACGACCAAAACCACCACTACCACCACCTCCACCAACCCAGCAACAACTTCTCCGAGTGGTCCTTGCGCAGCCCAGTATGGACAGTGCGGTGGTATGAATCACAATGGACCAACATGCTGTCAGCCCGGATCCACGTGTACCTTTGGAAATGACTACTACTCGCAGTGCCTCCCGGGCTCATCTCCCACCCCGTCCCCGACCCCTTCCCCTCCTCCTCCCACGCCAACCCCCTCACCACCTTCACCAACGCCAACCCCCTCGCCGCCTTCCCCGTCGCCGTCACCGAGCCCACCCGGCGTCAACCCCTTCGAGGGGCACCCCTGGTACGTCAACCCGTCCTACCGCGATCTATTGTCTACCTCCATCAATCTAACGAGCGGCACAGTACGCACAACCTTGGAGTCAATGCAGAATGTGCCATCAGCCTTCTGGATTGACGTAAAGTCCAAGATCTACAAAGGGCAGGGTCACCCGGATCACAGCACGGTGGAGGGCATCCTCGAGGATGCTGCAAGCTGTTCGCCACCCAGCCTTGTTGTGCTCATCGTGTACGATCTCCCTAACAGAGACTGCTTCGCGCTTGCCTCCAATGGAGAGATCTGTTGCCACTACGGCGAAGACAAGGGCCGAACGAAGTGCGACATGTCAACCTCGGGGCCAAATGCCGGCTTTTACCGGGAAGTGGTGGGAGCCAACTGTGCGGATGGCCTGCAGGAGTACAAGGAGACCTACATCGATCCCTTTGCGGAAGTTGTGGGACGCTTTGCCGATCGTGTGCCCATTGTCTTGGTGATTGAGCCTGACTCATTGCCCAATTTGGTTACGAACATGAAGGACAAGAGGCCTGACAACTTCCGAGGCTGCCATGACGAGACCAAGGTTGCCTACGAGGAAGGCATCAAATACGCCGTCGAGAAGCTGTCTGCGACAGGTGCGCAGCTCTACGTGGATGCTGGACATGGCGGCTGGCTCGGTTGGGCTAACAGCTCCCTTGCTGCAAGAGTCCGTGCATCTAGGATATAGTGTGATGGTTCCAAGCAATGTAAAAGCTGCCTTCATGCCTCGCAAACCTGAGGTAATGATGACCAGACTGGAAAGTTTGCAAACATCATTGCCAGCATGCAGATTGCCCCAAAGGTCCGTGGCTTTGCCACGAACGTGGCGAACTACCAGCCCCTCGGAAATCTGATTTGCTCAGAGCCAGGCAAGTGCAAGGGTGAGATGAGCAATGACCCCTGCTGTGCCGATGACCCATGCAGTTTGCAGAAAGATTGGAACTGGGCCCACAACGAGCTGAACTATGTGGACGTCCTGGACTACAAGATGCGAGCTGCCATTCCTGGATTCACTCCGTCCTTCATCATTGATACCGGTCGCAACGGCAAGCCCAACACCCGAAGTGACTGCGGCAACTGGTGCAATGCCCGTGGAGCGGGAGTTGGGCATGTTCCGACGACGGCAACACCCGATGCCCGCATTGATGCCTACTTCTGGCTGAAGACCCCAGGCGAATCTGACGGCTGCACGGAGATCTTGCCTGACGGCTCCAATTGTCCGCGATTTGATGAGATGTGCGCATCTGTAGACTCACTGGGCAGCAGGAGCGGGGAGCCGCGTGCTCCAGAGGCGGGGCTCTGGTACCACTACCAGATTGCCATGCTGGCTGAGAACGCTGACATGGGAGATGCCTCCGTTTTCAGCGACCCCGGCAGCTGCGGCAGCATTTCGGGTGCCCCGCAGGTCACTGTGCTCACGGATGCTTCGGTGAGGAGTCCTACAGCTCGCCATAGTTGGCGCTCATCAAGTATGCAGGCCTCGAACCAGGGCGTGACGATGTTGGCTTTGAACACGCGCCATGCCCGCATGCTGTTCGTCACCGACAACGCGACTGAGGGCTTCGAAGGCAAGGACGGTGGTATGGACCGTGCATGCCGAGGAGCAACTGCATCTGATAACTCTCCGAACCACTACGAGGTTCATTCTGTGGCCAGCCTAGACGAATGCAAAGAAGTCTGCATGGCAACAGAGGGTTGCAAGGGCATCGAGTTCAGCAAAGGTCGCTGCGAGGTGTGGACTCGCCCAGGGGGAATTCAGGCCACAATTGAGCTAGCAGGATTCAGCTGCTACACCTATGGGGAGATGTCGGTGGAGGATGACTTCCTGCCCGTGGATGGCGGGGTTGATCGCGCATGCCGAGGAGGAAGCAAAACAGACAACTCTCCAAACCATTATGAAGTGCACTCTGCGGCCAGTGTAGATGAATGCAAGGCAGTATGTATGGCAATAGCAGGTTGCAAGGGCATCGAGTACAGCGCTGGAAGATGCGAAGTTTGGACGCGTGCCGGTGGCATCCAAGCAAGCATTGAGCTTTCGGGCTTCAGCTGCTATACATACGAAGGAATGACTGTGCAAGGAGAGTTCGCTCCAATTGACGGCGGCGTAGATCGCGCTTGCCGAGGAGGCGGCAGCACAGACAACTCCCCAAACAATTATGAGGCCGGCGTTTCCAAGACGTTTGGGCTTCCATCAGTGGATCCCAATTTTCAGGGGGCGATGTGAGGGGATTAGCATTAAAATCTGAACCTTAAATCCTCAAACAGTACTTTCCATTTTCTTTTCCATTATCCCTATATCATCCCTATATAACCCATACAAACCCTTTTTATAACCACTATAGTAGACAGGTTCATCCGGCTGGCTCCATGGATGAATGCAAGGCGGTTTGCATGTCAATCCAAAGCTGCAAAGGTGGGAGTTTCTGGAAACTATCTCCATCGACTCTTGAACGGGGACGCCCTTGTCCCTTTGCACTTATCCATCAATTCCTGAACTTGTTACGGACCATAACTTTGAGAAACCCCCAGGTATTGAATACAGTCCGGGACGGTGTGAAGTCTGGACGCGGGCAGATGGCATCGAAGCCTCTATCCAACTTGCTGGTTTCAGTTGCTATACGTACCATCCCGGCCCGACCACCATGGAGAAATGCTCTCAAATGAGTGAGGCCCAGATGGCCCAGGCTCTATCGGTTTCCCAAATCCCGCTACCTTTCCCAAGGCACAGTCAATGCTCTAGCTTTGGAATGGCAATCTCCTGCCGCCACGTGCATTATGCAGCCACCGCCAAGAAAGATTGGCAGGCCATGCTTCAGATTGGGGCTTGCAAGAATTGGGAGTTCCCTTTGAAGGGGTGGTGGGAGTGCTTAGGGATTTCTTTTATGAAGGTTGCAGTGACAGCAATTTCTTTCTTCGGCAGGCTGTGCTTTACAACGATGCAATGGGAAAGCCGCAGCTTGTGCTGCTGGATGGCACCTCCATAGCCACTACACAGACGCTTTCTTCGTCGCCGGAGCCTCAATCCGTGCTGTAGTATCCGAAGCCGTGCACACTTCCCCGGTTCCATATAAGAACCAGGGTTGTCTGCTCATTAGGGATGACAAATGCATGTCTCAGGTACGGGTGCAAGGAATGTTTAGGGTTAGAGTAGACCATGGGGGCATGTTCGGTGCTGTGACATGTGACAGGATAGATATCCCAAAATGCTAGTGTCAGGTTGCCAGTCTAGCGAATGACCTACTGATTTTTCCTCGGGGGTTCACCACCTTAACCTACTCCAGACCCCAAACCTTAAACCCTAAACCCTAAATAGTAGCTTCCATTTTCTCTTCCATTCTGCCTATATATCCCCGATATAATCCCTAAACCCTAAACCCTAAATCCCTAAACCCTAAACCCCTTAATCCCTAAATCCCTAAACCCCTTAATTCCTAAATCCCTAAACCCCAAATCTTTAACCCCTTTAAAGCTGGACAAGGCCGTTGGAGGTGAGGGGCGTGGACTTCGACCCGTCGGGTGGCTATCTCGTAGTCCTCCTCAGTGGTGGCAGCACATTTGACAGCCCGAGCCTGTTTAAGCAGCTTGGCAGTAGGGTCGAGGGCTTTTGGTCGGAAAGTTCACGAACCTTAGACCTTTTAGATTCCTGTACATCTTCTTAAGCCATAAGCCCTCAACCTTTAAACCTTAAACCCCAGAAAGGGCTGCGAGGCGTCTCACTACGTCATTATATGTTCTTCCTGCTTATTGCTCGGACACAGATGCTCCAAGCTACAAGCTTCTCCCAGACATAGGTAAGGAAACACATATTACCAGTAGTCTTTTCATTGGTTTTCAAACTGATTCTCCATGATTCCAGCCGCAAAACCCTATATCTCTTTCTAAGAATAATAGCAAGAATGATATAGTAGCCACAGTAATCTTAATATTGATCAATGTAGTCTGCCGAGGAAGTTTGCAGTGCCAAGCCTCCAGGAGGTGTGGAGCACCCCGATTCGGGATTCCCAGATTGGCCTGGAGAGGCCGCGAATCATGATAGGGTATATCTTGGGGTTATAGTAGGGAATAAGAGAATATGTTGGGGTTATGTGGGGATATTGGAAAGAAAATGGAAACTACCATAGCATAACAGGGTATATATTGAGGTTGTATTAGGGAAAAAGTAGGGAATATAGGGACTATTAGGGGTTCCCAACTAGGGGTGGCTAGGGAGTAGGCTGGGTGTAGGCTTCGAAGTGTTGAGTCTTTGGGGTTCGGGCATTGGGTCTACGACTCAGACTTGAGGGTTAAGGGGTCAGGTTTCGGTCGTCACATGTATGTAGGTTCAGGCTTTTAAGGTTCAGGCCTTATGGGGTTCAGGGTGCAGTTCCAGCGGAGAACCCCTAAACCCTAAACCCAAAACCCAAAACCCCCTAAACCCTAAACCCTAAACCCCCCTAAACCCTTAAACCCTAAACCCTAAACCCCCCTAAACCCTAAACCCTAAACCTAGCAGATCTTAAAGCAGGCTACTGTCTGCTCATGGCCAGTTGAGCTCCGGCAAAAAACCTCTCAGAAAACCATCGCTTTTCTTGATGAGCGTTGCGCCTTTCAACCTGGAACCCTACAACCCACAGCCTACAGCCTAAGGCCTAAACCCCCTAGACCTTAGTACCATTATTAAATTATTATTACCAGTATTACTTATTATTGTTATTATTTTCACTGTTATTATTCGTATTATCAAGTACTATTATCATTGTTTTCAATTATAATCATCATTATTATTATTATGATTTTTGTTATCTCTGGCATCGCCCGAGGTGGACTCCCGATGCGGCCCAGTCCCTGGCCGTCTCCTCCAGTCGCTATGTCCAGCATTCGGCAGGAGAGTGCAGGTGGGAATTTGAACCAAAGACCCACGGTTTTGCGTTTTCTAGTGTTTAGGGTTCAGGGTTTAGGATTTAGGGTTTAGGGTATTTGAACCAAAGACCATGGTTTGGGGTCTTGTAGAGTTATCTAGGGATAATGGAAAACAAGATGGAAACTACTATTCAGAGTTTAGGATGTGGGTTGTTTGGTTTGTGTAGCTTTGCATGCTTGAAGGGTACAATCACCAGCGCACCTTGGATAGTTGTTGAGCTGTTTGTAGTGATGCTATGTAAACTAGACAGCTGGACATGCAGTTCTTATATGCCGAAGAGTTTGCTGCGCACTTGGGTTTGCAGAGGGAGTGAATCGGACACGAAACCCAGGTGTTTTTTGGATTCCTAGGCGCTCCCTTGATCATCTTTGCTGGTCATTCATTTTTTGTTGTGAAGTCCATGCTCCCTCCAAACTAGCAGAACTGCAGTCTTTCTGGAGCCCTTGGGAGTTCCATCGGTAGTCTACACTCCTAGTATCCCACTCAATAGCCCCCATGACACTCCCCCATATGCGCCCGCTTTAAGGACCCTAAACCCTAAACCCTAATCCCCAAACCAATTCCCTATATATCCCTATAACCCATAATAATCCCAGTTTCCATTTCATTTTCAATTTTCTTTTCCATTTGATTCTCCATTATGGGGGGGAATATCCCTCATTGGGAGGGTAGCAAACGGTGTACAAGTCCATGCAGGTCGGGCTGGTGCTCGGGACATCAAGGCCGATTGCCGGGGGAATCACCCAGACATCCCACATATTCCTCCAAAATCATGGGCTCTGTGTGAGCTGTAGCCAGCTATAGTCTAAACTCCTTAAGGGGGGATATATGGGGAAGTATATAAGGGAGTGTTACAGGGCTTGCCAAGGGGGATGCTAGGATTTTAGACTATCGCTCATGTGCTTCAGTGGGCTTTTAATTTCTTAAAGACGTCCCCTCAGTTCCATCTTAGAGTTTCGGGCGTCTGTAGCCGACAGAGTCTTGAGACGCCGCCCAAAGCCTTGACTCCAAACGAGGCGGAATGACGGTGATGGTGGATGCAAATGGTCAGCAGCAATCCTACTCCGGTGATGCCTGGGCGTCCCATTCTTGCAAGCAGATGGCGGCTTACAGCGTCGCTCGGGTTGCAGCCCAGATGTGGGGGTTTTCCAGGAATTCGGGGTCCCTTGTTTGGAGGCTCCCAGGCCCTGAATCCTACATCCCTTTAAACCTTCATCCACTATTCCTGCAACAGTGGTCAAAAAGAACCTGGCGAAATGCAAGGTCTGCTTCATGTAAGGGCCGAGGCTTTAGGCTGCGTTATGCTATATTCGCATAAGTGCTGCTACGGAATAATCTTAGTAATTATTTGTGCTTCTGCAGTTTCTAGGGAGAGAACCCCAAACCCTAATTCCAAACCCTTCGGCGCTGCTCAGGCTATCTCGGACACCTTCCTCCTTGGCACAGCTGGTGACGCATATCCAGATGCGTGGGCAGCTCAGTGTTCTCTTCGAAACTTACTCGCGCGTGCCCCTCCAGCATAATGTCTTTGACACCCTCTCTTGCTAGATCGTCCCTATGGTAGCTCATATGGTGGGACATAGGCAACATCAACTACTTGTGTTTGGCTACTGTTGTTATTGCTGATACTTGTTTTGCCGCCACCACTGGTGCTGCTGCTGCTACTACTACTTCTATTGCGTTTAGTCTACCTCTACTCGTACTTGTACTTCGGCTACTTATTCAAGTTTAACTTTCTGCTTCTTCTTTTTGTGCTACTCAGACTTCTACATCTGCATCTGCTTCTTCTTCTTCTTCTTGATCTTAAGCTGTAAGCCCAACACCCTAAACCCTAAGTCCTGACGCCTAAACCCCTAACCCCTAAGCCCCTAAAGCCCTAAACCCCTAAACCCATAAACCCCTAAAGCCCTAAAGCCCTAAACCCCTAAACCCTAAATCCTAAACCCTAAATGGTAGTTTCCACTTTCTTTTCCATTGTGCTAATATACACCCTATACAACCCCCCATATTTTGACCCCTATGGATTGAGACATCAGTCCTGCCCAGGCTGGTCTTCTCAACCCTGAAGGACGGAGATCTTGAGATGAAGTCGAAGTCGACATGCAGGGGCTGATTACATGGAGAAAATGGGATAAGCTAGGGTAATAGAGGGGTTATATAGGATCATGAGAAAGAACATGGAAAATTCTATATCATAATAGGGGTGACCCTTAAATTGAGGGTTTACACAAATAGGGGTTCAGGTCGGGAGTTTTGAGCGGTATACAATTTGTATTTATCCGGGCTCGAGGGTTTAGGGTTCAAGGTCTAGGGTGAAACCCACACCCTAAACCCCATTTCCCCAATCCTTGGAGGACGATGTCCTCCTGAAAACGGCGAGTTTTCAGAGTTGGGGTGATGGCGCAGGCTCCCAAGGCATCAGCAGTGGCGCCATTAAGGCAGGTTTGCAGAATTGACCTGAAACCGACTTGGATCCTAATTCCTAAAGGGTTTAGGGTTTAGGGTTTAGAGCTTGGGGTTTAGGGTTTAGGGTTTAGGGCTTGGGGTTTAGGGTTTAGGGTTTAGGGTGCTTTCCCTGAATAGGGGGACCCTAGTACAGACCTCAAAGTACTATAGTCCTTATTATGGGGACCCACAAAATGGTTTACCCCTAATTTTGGGAAACCCCCATTTCAAGCTTTCCGGACTTTGGGGATCGGGTTTTAGGTGTAGGGTATGCATACGTGGCGGGACATGGGGTTCCCCTTTCCAGACCAAAAATCCTTTTGACAGAAAGGTACCCCTAAATAAGAGGGATCTCAAGTTTCGGAAAACTCCTCATGGACTTGGTTCTGAGTATTACACCACGGTCGTTACACGTGGTCGAGGGGCCGTTCTGACTCTTACAGTGTCTTACGGTTCCTTGAGGGTGGATGATGCCCGAGCTGCGGTTCAGTCATCAGATTGGATTGGCCGAGGGCAGTCCAAGCTTACGGGGTTTAGGGTTTAGGGTGCCCTCAACCCTAAATCGAAATCAAAATCTCACCAACATAGGATTCTCGAATCGATTCCCCATTCCCCACCGAGTCCTAGACCGGAATTCCTGGGGCAGAAACCCTAAGGCCGAAATCCCTAAATTTTGCCGAAACCCCAAACACCAACCCCCAAAGACTCTAAACTCTCAGCCCTAAATCACCTTATCTCTAAACCCTAAACCCTAAATCCCTGAACCCTAAATACCTATATCTTAGATTCCCTAGCCCTAAACCCTACATCCCCATAAAACCCTAAATCCCCGAGACCCAGAATCCCACATCCATGTGATATTCTTTCAACTTTGAAGCTTGCAGGCAGACCTGACGGGCGGCTTTGGAGCTGTCTGGACCTATGGAGAGAAGGGAGACTCAAGTTGCAATAAGGAGGTTGCATGTAGGTTGGGGCTTTGGGGTTTGGGGCCTAGGAATTGGGCCTATGGAAAGAAGGGCTACTCACATTGCAAGACAGGAGCTATCTCTTGGCATAGGCCTGAGGATTTAGGTCCCCAAAACTTAAACCACAAATTCAGGTCTATAGAAATTGCATGGGGTTCATGTCAGGACTTTTCTTTGCTTTTGCTCACGAGCTCCCTCTACAATTTATATTGATATATAGTAGGCTGGTGGGTTTAGGGTTTGGGTTTAAAGATTAGGATCTAGGAGCTTGGAGTTTAGGATTCAGGGTTTGGGTTCAGGGTGGGATAGGCATGCGGACAACTGGAGTTGTTGTATGTACTGTTGTGCTGAACTGAGAAAGTCATTATTTGGTGGGTCTTTGTCCTTTTGGGGGAGGGGGTTATTGTTGATATTAGGATCCCGGCGTGACCTTCATATCCTAAACTCCCATAAATCCCGAGGTTCAGGGTCTTTAAGGTCATGCGAAACTTTTGGACGTCTAGCCTCCCAGGGATCGTCCTGTTCTCTTCTTCTTGAAGCTAAATTCTAAAAACCCTAAAAACCATAAGCCCTAAACCCTTAAACTTTAAAACCCGAAGCCCTTAAATCCTAAAACATGCTGAAACCCTAAACCCTAAAACCTTAAACCCTGAACCCTAAGCCACATCAGTACTTTTGCTAGGTAGTCCCTATGAAGTAGTTTCCATTTTCCATTATCCCTATATAGCCCATATATATATATATATGCACACCCTATTATAGTATAGTAGTTTCCATTTTCTTTTCCATTATCCCTATTTTATAACCCCCCTATATATATACACATATTATGTTGTAGTAGTGTCCATTTTCTTTTCCATTATCACGATAACCCCTATATATATATCTGTACATACCCTATTTTAATATTTCAATTTATATCCACCCTCTTATAATATAGTAGTCCTTAAGCTCGCACGCGAGCATCCCCCGACTCAGGTGGAATTCAAGACAAGCTCTACTTCGCGACCTTTGCCGCCGATGGCAGCGCCTCGGTTTAGGGTTTAGGCTCCAGGGTTTTTCGGGTTTAGGGTTGAGGGTTTAGGGTCTGCGAGTTCAAGTTTTAGAGTTGCAGGTTTCAGGGTTCAAGGCTTTTGGCACTTAGTGTCTTAGAGTTTAGGGTTCAAGGCTTTGGGTTGAGCTGGAAGCCAGGATGCCTTCCATTGAGCTGGCAAGAGTTGGTAAACTTAGAGACATATGCAGGTGAGGATTGTCAAGCTGATGATGCTCCTTTGAGGAATGTAGCTATCCCTTTTGTTGTGAACATTCTCAGGGTTCCTTGCTGGTGTCAATCTTTCTCTCCGCGGATGAAGTGTGTGGCCAAGGCTTTGTGACTGATCCGCGGCCCCTGTTCGATGGTTCCGGCTCAGAGATCGGCGGTAACCTGGTCCCGCTTTCAGATGGAAACTGGCTCGTGGCCTTCGCAGAGTCTCTGGGTCATTATTGAGTAGAACCATTCTCAGGAAGGTGATGTTGACATCAATCCCCACCGAAGAGATACGCATTTCGGGGTTGCCTCTCTTCACATATTAAAAGCTCGCATTGGTAGAGCTGGAACCAGCAGTAATGTGCAAGCCCAATCCAAAGCTACCTCCATCAACAGCGAAGGTCAGCTACGGATGTCATCCCTGACTACTTGAGGACCATGTTGCCTGGGTTGCGACAGGTTTGATGTTCTTTGCTGTGAACGCACCAATCAAATCTTAGACCATAAAGTCCAATCCTGCTCGTACCTCTTCTGAGCCCCCCCCCCAAGTCCCAAATCCTTAAGTTCGAAGGTGAAGCCGAAGCCATTGTCATACTTTTTTGTTGCGATTATCAGGCCTCATCTGCAACTTCTGATTTGCCATTATTGCTCCTGACAGCACTTTACGAATACCACAGTGACTGCCACTTTTTAATTTCATGTAGCCATAAGGGGAAGCCGCTGCAGAAGCAGCTGTGGCTGTAATTGCTGCTTCTGGTAGTCGTGGTGGTGGTGGTGGCGGTGGCGGTGGCGGTGGCGGTGATGGTGGCTACTGTGGCTGCAGACTCCTGGAGCTTCTGCTGCTGCTGTGATTATCTATGCTGCTTGTACTCTTTTCTGTTCTTGTTTCTATTGACTATGACGATTGCTACCACCATGTCAGCTAGTGCTCCTACAGCTGCTATTATCACTGCTACTACCACCACCAGAAGGACGACGACGACGACGACGACGACGACGACGACGACGACGACGACGACGACGACGACGACTACTACTACTACTACTACCTATCGTGTTGTTATTTGATGGTACATTATTCTGGCATGTGTCCTTTGAAAACC